GGAGGAGGAGGAGGAGGAGGAGGAGGAGGAGGAAGAGGACGAGGAGGAGGAGGAGGGGAGAAGGAGGAAGGGGAGGAGGAAAGCGACGACGACGATGGACGATGTTGTTTATAAACCTCCAGATAATTCCCAGGTGCACCTGGTAGATAGAGACACGGGCAGAGGGTGGGAGTGAAAGCTGTTCCCGCATCCGATCCGGGATTGCTTTGTTAGTGAGACAACTTCCTGGGCCTTCGACATATTGTGGTAGGGTGGTCAGTTCCTTTCCACGCCGCCTTTACTTCCCCAACTCGAAGTCAGGAACCCATTACTGCTGGGTGGACAGGAGGGGGGGGAAAAATCCGTGTCCGAACCGAGGCTCGAACCCGGACTTTCCGCGTCGGAGACGGACGCACCAACCGCTCCTTTACCGCACTCTCTCTAGGTATTTTCTTTTAAAAAACCACCCCTAGTCCTCTTCCCTTTCAATCTGCTTTAAACTGAATCGGTGGGTGGTTGGCAGGTGCTCTGCTGTGCTTTGCTCCTCTTCTTTCTTATCAACCATCTATCGCCCTTATCCCCTCCCCTCTTTCCTTTTTTTTTTTTTGGTTTGTTACTCTTGTAACACCTATAATCTTCGGCACTTAAATGACCTTCCTTATTGTGTTACAAGTGCCGTATAACTATTTAAAAAGCGAATCTGTTCCGAAACGCCAAATGCCTACATAACTACATTAAATTAAAAATTAAAAAATCGACCACATAATACGTACAGTCTTCGCAAGCTGCTGTATTGTAAAGGGACCATATTTTTCTACAGTAGTATGTAAAGACTGCTTTGAAGACATTATTTTCAAGGGTAAATTATTATTTATCAATCCCCTTCCCTTGTATGCTTTTAGTTTAAAAAAGAGTCTTTTCACCAATGGACAGTGTTAGATTTTAAACTTATAAGCGCTTTTGATTATAGCTTTTCAATTTCGCTTATTATAGTGTATAATATTATATTGAAAAAAAAACAACAACAGCAAAAGCAACTTGTTTCTTACTTATAACATACTAAAAGCTTATGTGTGACTTGTCGTATCATCTAAGCTTTGTTTAAAATAAAATTCCCTAAACATGGTGTGCATATTTTCAAAAATAAAACTCTTCTGATGCAAAGTTTTTTCTAAACGCTTCTAGATCTATGCCCTGGA